GCCTTCCTCGATCTGGCTCCCAATCTCTCTCCTGCCTTCTCTCTCTCCTGCCTTCTCTCTCTATCTCCCTTCCCCCCCCACTCTGCTCTCTCTCTCTCTCTCTCTCTCCTCCTCCTCTTCCTCCCGATCTCTCTCTGTGCGCGCCGCCGCGCGTCCCTTTCGCCTCCCCTCCTCCCACTACGCGCTGTTCAGATAATGGACTCCGGGACGTGCCAGGCGCTATATAATCACATTAGAGGGAGGGGGATGCGCCCAGCAAAAGCAGCCAGCAAGACAGCGAGCTTCCGACGGTGGAGGCCGTGCTGGCCCTCCTCCTCCTCCCAACCCTCTCGACCTCCCCACTTCTCATCTCTGATCCTCTCGCAGGGCGGAGGATTTCTGGATTGGGGATGGAGGGAGAGCAGCTGCAGCAAGCGAACCAGTTCGCTCCCCGCTCGTTTTCGATTGCAAATCTCCCAGATGCTCATCCCGGAGAAATGCGAAATGGGAGGGATGTGAGAGGCACATGAGAGATCCAGGAGACTGGAGATGGTCTGGAATGGAAAGCTGTTCATCTCATCGCCAGCTCCCCCCCCCGCCGCCGCCCCCGTGGCCGCCTTTCTGCTTTGAGCGCTTCTTTCAGCAAGCCCCGGAATCTGTGGTCTAGGCCGGGGCTCGGCGCGGGAGCAGATAAAGTCAGACTACAGAAATGGATTCCAGAGCGTGTACAGAGTATATTTCCACTGACAGAGAGCTTCCACTCTTCACACAGTCGGAATCAAGTAAGAAGACTTCCCCGCTCAGACCGGAGAATTATATTTACAAATGCAGGATCCCCGATATCTTTTTTTTATAGGGAATTAGGAAGATCTTCATATATCTATTACTCCGTTCCCCCATCTCCACCTTTTCTCTCTCTCTCCCCCCCCCACTATCCTTCCCACTTCTGGCTGCAATTTGCCTGGCTGGCTGTTCCCCACCCACACACCCACCTCCACCCTTGGAAGATCATGTCCCCTCGGCTGAGAGACCAAAATTATTGGGGTTTGGTCTCCATTGTTGGGAATTATTCTGAGACTTGACCTTGGGTTGGTTTGCTTAATCATTGAATAGATGATTATTCAGATGTCCCATAGTTTCAGGCCCTAGCTAGTTCTAGGCCCACCCAGATGGGGATTTTTGGCATCAATGAATACCAACTTCATGCTTATTACAGCATGAAAGAGCAGCTGGATTTGAAAGGGCGAATGAGGTAGATGAGCCCCCCCCAGCTGGGGAGAAGCCCCCTGTGTGGACTGTTAAGGCTGCCCTTATTTGTGGAGGAGCCACACATTAGCCCCAGCCCTGCAGGGGGCGCTACGAGCAAGGGGGCTATCTTAGCTTGGGGTGAGGGTGAGGGAACCGAAAGGCATAAAGCACTGAAGAGCACTCAGCCAGCCGGAGAGCGGTGGTCCTCAGAGGAAGAATTTAGAAAGACGGACTAGAGGCGGTGCAGCCAAAAGAGTTGCCCTGTGGGGAACTCCTCCTGCCTTGAGCTTTTTGACCCTAGCCAATGGGAAGTTTAGGGCATAATCCTTGGACGTCGGTCAGAAATGGAAAGAGGCAACTAGTGGAAAAGGCAACGCTCTCAAGGTTGGCCCTACTGTTAGGAAAAGTGATCACACCATGCAGCTGCTGCTGGCGGACACCAGCACCCAACCCACTATTCTTCCTGGGCCGCCAACTGTCTCCTCCTCCTCCTCCTCCACTGTGCCTGAGCAGCAGATTAGTTTAGGAGGTCCTGTCTGCTGCCTTAGGCAGCGAGGAGGAGGAGGAGGAGGAAGAGGAGGAGATAGTCCTGTTCCAGTGCTAAAGTAAAAACAATGTGCCAGTCCAGCTAGCTTCTGCACGTGGGGTGGGCAGCAGGGTGCCATTTGGTGCTTTGCTTCAGGCAGCAAAATGCCTTAGGCCAGCCCCACGATGCGCGGTAGACCCATATACTTTGTGTCTTTCATGCCCTGAGTCATGATGTCTGACACACTCGTCAGTCTCCTGGCAAATCCGGTCTTAACTCCTCTTGACAGCTCTGGCTAGCTGGAGAGCCCATACCACGACCCTCCTGCCTTGCCCTCACTTTTCCATGCCGCTTCCATTTGCCATCCTGCCACCTGGGCCCACTCTCTGGATTATAACGTCCCCGCCACCGGCATTCCTCTTCGCTTCCCCACCCTACCCCGTGAGACAAGGATGATGCCACATTACCTCGTTGAGGAGGAAGACACTGGAGTTGGAGAGAGACATGCAGAGTGTCTGCTTTGCTGGAGGAGAGCGGACACCGACTGGCTACCTCCCACCCCCTCCCTCCCTCCCTCCCTCCTTTCCTTGCTTCCTCATGAACCCAGCCCAGCTCACAGGGCAGACGGGAAGCCCAGCCCACACGGACTCTCACGGGATGGGGGTGAGCAAGCAGCCTGCAGGCTCAGGGGCACAAGCAAATGGTGCAGCGGTGCATGAGCATGAAAAGTTCCCTCGTACATGAGTCTCTTGTGGCACCGGGCACAAGCACTCCATTGGCGTGTGGGCCCTCATGGGACAGTGTGTGCCTCACAAGAGGCTGGCTGCGGGACCCATCCTCTTTCAGCCTTGGGCACAGAAGGCCAGCGAGCTCACAGGCCCATGTAGGATAGCAGTGCACCAGCGGTTTGCACATCACACCAGCTTATGCACAGCTTCATGGCAGAGAATGTGCAGGCCACCAGGCAGTGCTGTACTGCAGTTCCCACAAGCCCCCCTATTGTTGTTGACAAAGGCTAGTAGGAGGTGCAATGGGGCAATCCAGTACCATCGGAAGGAGCAGAATTTCTCCGTCCACAGCTTATGCTAAGATGGGCTTTTGTGAGAATAATTCTTACATCCTGGTGATAGAACCCACAGGGGTTTTGCACATGGGTCCTGATCTATGGAATAACATGTTTTAGTAAAGTGTAGCTCACTTCCGCTCCAGTGATTGAGATAGAAAGTAAACCCACTAAAACCTCAACACGTCTTGGGGATCCCACTGGTTCTGATAGCCTTCACTTTTATGAGACAGCAACCAACCAACCAGCCAC